AATTAGGAATTCAATTGTTTGCAGATGTTCCTTGTATTATTTTAACATGATTATTTTATGAGTAAATAACAAGGACTGTGACATTCATGTGTTGTTTAACAATAAAACTGAAATTTCTACCTGTGCTTGGTTGTAAAAAAAAAAAGTATGTAATTCACAGATAGAAATAAGTGTTCAAAGCAAATAAATAATGTAGTTTAAGCAGCAATGTAAAAATCGTCCATCATGGAAAAGAAAATCAAGTTGGCAAGTTTAAAAGCTTTGCAGTCATAAATGACTAGCTCAAATGAGCTATTTCCATGACCCACACCAGAATCCTTTGCAGTGGTAAAAAGGAAAAATTAATTGTGTTATGTATATTTTCTTTTTCTGGTGTAAATAAATAAATACAAATACAAATAAATACAAAATGGGATTCAAACTAAATTTACCTGTTGAATTTACCACTTTATTTTGTATGAGCGAACAAGGATGAAACTTAAAACTATGCCCCAGTAGATCATGGTTTCAAGGGTCTATTACTATATTCAATTTCTCTTGAACTCCCAAATTAATATTAGCATCACTGTTTTATCTTAAAGTGAGTCTCCAGTCGTGTTGACAAGTAGTGGCTGGGAAACTGTCCGTGGAGAAATCACTGAAGAGCAAGTTGTACATGATATATCTGTTGACTCTTCATCGTTGCCATTGACAACAAATGATGATGGTGATCAAGTGTTTCGGTTTTACTGGTTTGATGCGTATGAAGATCATTATAAACAACCAGGTCAGTTGATTTACAAAATTGTTCATTTCTAAAATATTGATGAAAAGTTGAGTAGCCAATGTGGTTCTGACTTAATATGATGTATTACTGTGTAGGTATCGTATATCTGTTTGGTAAGGTGTGGATTGAATCAGCCAAGTGTCATGTCAGTTGCTGTGTTGCCGTTAAGAATATTGAAAGAAGAGTCTACTTACTACCAAGAGAAAATGTGAGTTTCTTTTCAGTATTTATTTATATCCACTCATGACAACAATTTTACCCAGATGGAATTATCTTTTAAAATACATCTTGCTGACGTCATCACTTTGTGGTAGTTTGCAGACATCATCACTGATACTAAACAGTAGATCTTTACCTTGTTGACGTCATCCAAGCATGGTAGTTCATTATCTGACATCACTACATGTTAGTTTACTGATGTCATTTCTGTACAGTAGATAGATACTTTGCTTATGTCATACAAGCTTGACAGATTGATATCTTTCTGATGTTATTCTGATACAGTAGATCAATGTAGAACCACCAATAAGGCTGACAAAAGAACTTATTTGCATACTATATATTTCTATGCAGATAGAAGATATAATTTATTGTTTGAACTGTTTTTTTTATGTTTTTTTGCATTCTTTTTGGCAATCTATATCAAACTAATATGGCTGAGTATTATCACTCTTTTCAAATTTCAGTATGTTTTTACATTTATTTACAAAATTCAGGTAGAACAGTACTCCTGTGTTTTGATATATGTGCATATTTCTACTCTACTGACTAATTTACTAGGGTGACCACTTATTTTATTCAATTTTCTTCATCCCTATAAACATGGACTTATAGAAGTATATGTTGTAACATGAAATGTCAAAAATGCTTAAGTAATTAATTTTGTATAATCTTTTTTAAAAAGCATTTTATCTTTTTAAAGAAAAAAAACTTACTGCCAAGTGAGATGTTATGAAATGAATCTCATGAAGCAAGGCACTTTAATCTATTGCAGAGAGTTAATTTGAAAACTGGTGTTGAAACTGACGAGGAAATCACTTTCATGGATGTGTATAAAGAATTCAATGATCATGTCGCAGAAAAGTACAAAATTATGAAGTTTAAGTCCATGGTGAGTATGTCTTACAATTAAAGTGGCCAAGAATTTGACTGGACTGGATTGGGCTGGGATAGGGCTAACCTGGCTTATTTAGGGCTGACTGGGCTGTGATAGGGCTGACTGGGCTGTGATATGGCTGACTGGGCTGTGTTACAGCTGACTGGGCTGTGATAGGGCTGCGCTAAGGCTGACTGGGCTGCGATAGGGCTGACTGGGCTGCGATAGGGCTGACTGGGCTGCGATAGGGCTGACTGGGCTGTGGTAGGGCTGACTGGGCTAGGATAGGGCTGACTGGGCCTAATGCAAATACAGAATACAGACTGAATTTATTTTGGATTGTTGATGATAACAAGCAATTTATTACTTTTTGGGATACATGTGCAAGTCCATTTGTTTAACAATCTGATTCAAGGTTGCCATAGAGGCCTTTTTTCAGACCTTGACTGTTGGCCATTTTGTTGTAACAAATTCCAATTTATACTGATTATGTTCAAACTTTATATATTTCACAAACTTGAGAACTCAGAGACTATGAAATGCATCAGTAGGATTAACATGTCTGAAATTAAATCAAAATATTTTATTTGCTATTCAATACATGTAATTGCCTTTATGATGATATATCTTTGCTGTAATCTCACAGCTTTTATCTCATTAAATATGTACATTTTATTTTTTAGAAAGTAAGTCGTCAATACTGTTTTGAAAAATCTGACGTCCCAGCAGAGTCTGAATACTTGGAAATACGATATAGTGTAAGTGGTGGTTGTAAATATCGTAAACATACATTAAATTTTCAATAGCTTTTTGAGACAAGAGGCCAAATGAAGAAAGTGAAATGTGTTTTCTGACAATATTCTACATCATTAACTAAATAAATTGTGATTCAATAAATAAAAATAATTCACCAAAAAAAAGAAAATGTTCAAGTGAATGCATAATTTCAATTTGCATGGCTTTATGGGATATAAAGTAAAACCCATGTTAGTGATCATCTCTCTTCCCAGCAGTCAACAACCTTGGGGGGATTTAATTGTGATCCCTACAAAATCAGTTCTGTTAGTGGGCACACTGGTACTTGTAAAGACTTTGCACAAGGAATTATTTGTACCCTAAAGAAAATTCTGAAAAAAGAATGAAAAGTGTTTCTGTGTTTAATTATTTCAGGCAGACTTGCCCCAACTGCCATCAGATTTAAAAGGAGAGACGTTTAGCTATGCGTTTGGTACGAACACATCAAGTACAGAGTTGTTATTACTGCATCGTAAAATGAAAGGACCATGTTGGTTGGATATAAAAATGCCACGTAAGTTGTACATATTCCTGTAATTCACTGTAATTATTGACGTTTTTCTGAACAC